CAAAAGGGCAGAAGAGCCAGCCACATCTGAAAGAGCTAGGAGAGACACCTAAATATAGGAAAGACACAAAGATCAGAGGTACACGTGATTCTATGCTGCAGACATTAGCCCTATCAGTGGGTGCAAGTAGCCTTGGAGCCATTCATATATATAAAACCACAATGATGCCCATTGTGATGAAATGAAATAGGCAGGAATAGGCACTCTTACTTTGATACACACATGGAAGAGGGTCTGCATGCACTGCATATGCAATACAGGAATTTCAGCAGTGGCAGTATGCTTTACTGCAGGATGTTTAGCCTAGGTTGAGCACTTGTCTTGCGAGTATGATTTGTTTTTAACTTACTGCTTTATTAAGTTACATTGTTGCTCTATGAGCCTTTAGGTGCTCTACCTCATGAATCCATTGAATAATGAATAATAAAGGAACTATGATTCAACTCCCTGCCCATCCAGCATTATTGTACAGCCGGTTTGACCATTTTGTAATGAGAGGTAAAACAAACCTGCTGAGCGATCCTGAGCAACTGGGAATGCACCAGTATGTTAAAAGAATATATTTTTGCACATTTCAGCTTCTTTGGATACTTATGTAATCAAAACATTCAAAATGCCTCAAGGTCTATGCATTAATAATCCGGGAGTCCCTAATCCAAACTTTAAATATATAATCAAGCAATAAAGATTAGTTATGGTCTCAACCAAGATTAGTGGGTTTTTAGTACTGTTAGTGATAAAAAAGCAATCATCAAAGGTTTGGTAGTCACAACACACAAACAATTCCTTTAATTATACAAAGACATACAAAATATAATAGGAAGCCACACTCCGTAAATCTAACTTACTCCCCACCATAGGTGCTGATTAATGACATATATTATAAGTATTCAACATACAGTCTCTTAGATTGACCATAACTGCCCAGCATATTACATTTAAGTGTCCTTAAATCATTTTCAAGGATAAACATCTCTTATATCACAAATCCATGCCACCTAAAGGAAAATGTGCTTAGTTAGATCCCCATATGGAAAGTAACAATGTGTAGTCCAGAGGAGGATGCCTTGTGAAAAGAGCATATTCATAATCGCCTCCCTCTTACACTAACTTTATAGCTACAGTATGTAGGTGTCCCAATGAAGGCAGATATTAAATGGTCCCACAGTACTTTCCAAGCTTGACATAATCCAGAGGAGGAATTGATTGAACTGTATAGATCCTTACCTCCCTCCAGCGCCTATCGAATAACAGAGCTGTTCAGGGGAGGATTGGTATGTAGATGAATCACTGTAACCTCCCTCATACATCAATATGCATTGTTTGTAAACAAGCTCATGGGTAATCAATTGGGTGACATTTCCATAGAAAAAGAAGCAGTCCATACATGTATCATGAGCAGAAGATCCTTCAGGAGTGCAAAAGTTGAGAGCAGTAAACTAGGGTCATGGTAAAATTGATGACAATACTTACCATGCTGTAGGCATCAAAGCAAGTCATAGCAGGAGACCAAGGACCAAAAGGGGGAGGGGGGGGTGCTGCCTCAGAGGTAGGCTCAGAATTGTTGGATTCTTTGGATACTTGCATTGTCATGGACTTTCTTTGATATTTATAAATTGTATTAATCAATATCACTGAGAGAGTTTACACACACATGATTTCAAAATACAGTTGTGGCCAAAATTATTCAACCCCCACTGAAATTGAGTGTTTTGGCCAGTTTGACATTGCTTTTGATCATTCAGTCATCTTGCTTACATTTACATTAAAGAGGCACTTGTAGGTCAGACAAATATAACATAACAGTTATAATAATGAAATAACCACAAATGTCTTTTCTGTGCTCACAGCATTATCAGTTTTATTCAACCCCCAAGTGACATTCAATCTTAGTACTTAGTACAGCATCCTTTTACAGTTATAACAGCTTTTAAACGTGAAGCATAGCTTGACACAAGTGTCTTGCAGCGATCTACGGGTATCTTCGCCCATTCTTCATGGGCAAAGGCCTCCAGTTCAGTCACATTCTTAGGCTTGCGCACTGCAACTGCTTTCTTTAAGTCCCACCAGAGGTTCTCAATCGGATTTAAGTCTGGTGACTGCGATGGCCACTCCAAAATGTTCCAGCCTTTCCTCTGCAACCATGCTCTAGTGGACTTGGAGGTATGCTTGGGATCATTGTCCTGTTGAAAGGTCCAACGTCTCCCAAGCCTCAGTGTGTGTGACGGACTGCATCACGTTTTCCATCCAATATCTCCTGGTACTGAAGAGAATTCATGGTACCTTGCACACGCTGAAGCTTCCCTGTACCTGCAGAAGCAAAACAGCCCCAAAGCATGATTGACCCTCCACCATGCTTCACAGTAGGCAAGGTGTTCTTTTCATCATAGGCCTTGTTCTTCCTCCTCCAAACATAGCGTTGATCCATGGGCCCAAACAGTTCTAATTTTGTTTCATCAGTCCACAGAACACTATCCCACAACTTTTGTGGTTTGTCCACATGGCTTTTGGCATACTGCAGTCGACTCTTCTTATTCTTTGGAGACAGCAAGGGGGTACGCCTGGGAGTTCTGGCACGGAGGCCTTCATTTACGCAGTGTGCGTCTTATTGTCTGGGCTGAAACTTCTGTACCCACATCTGACAAATCTTTTCTCAGTTCCTCAGCAGTCACACGGGGACTTCTCTCCACTCTACGCTTCAGGTAGCGCACAGCAGTCGAAGTCAGCATCTTCTTTCTGCCACGACCAGGTAGCGTTTCAACAGTGCCCTTTGCCTTGAATTTGCGAATGATGCTTCCTAAGGTGTCTCTTGGTATGTTTAACATCTTTGCAATCTTCTTATAGCCATTGCCCTTCCTGTGAAGAGAAATCACCTCTTCTCTTGTCTTCCTGGACCATTCTCTTGCCTTCACCATGTTTGTAACCACACCAGTAAATGTCTAGAAGGAGCTGAGTATCACAGTCATTTTAAAGCTGCCTAATTGGTGCTTATTATGCTTGATTGCTGCTCGGTGACATCCACAGGTGTTTTCAATACCTGATGGAAAGCACCTGTATGAACCTCTGTTCTTCAGAGTGGTAGTCTTTAAGGGGTTGAATAATTGTGGCAATGAAGAAACCACATAAGAACCATTTACTACTGTATTACATAAACAATTGATGTCATTTTAGTTGCATTTGGGTAGTTACAACGTCCTTGTAGGATTTGATTCTGAATACAATTCCAAATGTACACTATAGTCCCTAAACCCCTTTTACAGCATTGGGGGTTGAATAATTTTGGCCACAACTGTATCTGTTTAATGATCACACAATCAATCTGTTGTTTAATCACTATGATATAGAGTGTTTAATGCTTTAATGATTTGATGTGTATTTTATTTTATTACACAAAGTGAGGGTGTTATGCATTATTAATTCTTGCTGTGAGTGCTGTACTTCTCAGTGTTGTGTATTTTAGTCTGAATAGGATACTTCTACAGCTGCTTGCCTGAGGGAGGGGATTGTAGATTACAAGTGCAGAATTTTGGAGCGTGTTATCTAGGAGGATGTGTGCGTAAGGTGAACCTTACTGTGGAGGGGATTTCTGTTTTATTGCTCAAAGCAGAAACCCCCTTTAGTTCAGAAATCTATGCTGCTAAATGAATTGTCAGACTTACAATTTATCAGCTTATACATAAAGAAGCCTAATTCAATTAGCTATCGTGCATTTTGTGATGTACTCATATATTTTAATTACTGTACAAGAATATGGAATACATAGTTTCAATTGTTTAAAGAACACTAACTTTTACCCTAGAAAAAAACTCATTAACTGTATATGGTACAATTAAGTAAAAACAACGTCAAGTTGATAAAAGTATTTCAAAACAATGAAATGTCCTTTTGTTTCAACATGCTGCCTTATGGTAATTATTGTTAGGAAGTAACTTGTACAAAGCTTGCTTTCTGTATTATAATAATTATAGGGATATACAGTATTTTACTGAGAAAAATAGCTAAAAAGGTATTGATGTAAATAAAATAATTGTTTACACAAACTAGCTACTTTGAACTGATCTGAAGACAATCCTCCTGTTTAGATGATACCTGATTGCACCAAACACTCCCTGTTTGCTAATCACTGAGCCTTTTCTGAATTGTTTAGGCTTCCTCCTAAGATAAGCCAGTGATAGATGGGTATGGCTTCAGCTCAATTCTACTAGTACCAAAATAAACATGCATTCTCAAGTGATCCAGCATGCATATTTATGAAAAGAGCTTAAAGCTTGTGCAAAGCAACAAATTTGTTTTAAATTTCTGCTGTTCCATCTGCAGCAGCTCTTCTCTAACTTTTTGCTCTTACAGGACACACAGAGAGCAGGAAGGAGCCATAGGCTCCTGTTGCTCTCAAACATTTTTACAGTGGGTTACAATGCATCACAGTCTCCTGCAATACACTTTAAGGAGAGGAAAAAATTTATTCTGGACCCTGCTATTAATAAGAATGAAGATGCACATCCATACAACACATTAAAAAAATACATATCAATGAAATGCGTTAACGAAAGAATATACATTAAATAAATAAAAAAACTCATGTAAATGCATAGATTAGTCCTTACTGCTGCTGACATTTCTTGTGTTCCACAAGTGAAAATGATATACCATTTTTTCGCTCCATAAGACGCACCTGACCATAAGACGCAGTTAGATTTTAGAGGAAGAAAACAGGAAAAAAATATTCTGAACCAATGGACTGCAGAAACAGTACAGGAGATGACCAGAGACTGCGAACATACTACAGGAGATGACCAGAGGCTGCGGACATACTACAGGAGATGACCAGAGACTGCGGACATACTACAGGAGATGACCAGAGACTGCGGACATACTACAGGGGATGACCAGAGGCTGCGGACAAAGTACTGGAGATGAGCAGGGACTGCAGACACAGTACTGGAGATGAGCAGGGACTGCAGACACAGTACAGGAGATGACCAGAGACTGCGGACATACTACAGGAGATGACCAGAGGCTGCGGACATACTACAGGAGATGACCAGAGGCTGCGGACATACTACAGGAGATGACCAGAGGCTGCGGACATACTACAGGAGATGACCAGAGGCTGCGGACATACTACAGGAGATGACCAGAGGCTGCGGACATACTACAGGAGATGACCAGAGGCTGGGGACACAGTACAGGAGATGACCAGAGGCTGCGGACACAGTACAGGAGATGACCCGGAGGCTGCGGACACAGTACAGGAGATGACCGGAGGCTGCGGACACAGTACAGGAGACGACCGGAGGCTGCGGACACAGTACAGGAGACGACCGGAGGCTGCGGACACAGTACAGGAGTTGACCGGAGGCTGCGGACACAGTACAGGAGATGACCGGAGGCTGCGGACACAGTACAGGAGGTGACCGGAGGCTGCAGACACAGTACAGGAGGTGACCGGAGACGGAGACTGCGGACACAGTACAGGAGATGACCGGAGACTGCGGAACACCAGAATTGGCAGGTCTGTCACTGGCGCCCTGTGCTTTTCACAAATGAGAGCAGTGGCAAGATAGACTACATGGGGAGCAGTGGTAGGATAGTTTGGGACTTGGTGTTATCCCTTTTCCATATGGGGTACCACTTATACGTGGACAATTTTTATTCAAGCGTGCCACTATTTAGACATTTATACAATCTTGGAACTGGCGCATGTGGCACCGTGTGACCTAATGTGTGTCCACCATTAGAAGTGGGTGGATGCAGGGCGGTATATTCTAATAGTGGGCATACCACACACTTTCTCTGGCAGAGACTTCTTCCCTTTTTTCATTCAGCCAACAGGTTGCATACAAAAAAAAAAGAAAGAACATAGTATATATATCCAACAAGGACTAGCGGCATACTGGTACATCACTGGACTTTGAATGGTTATACCAGGATGATGCCTACAGCTGCAGGCATCATCCTGGTATCAATTTCTTTCAGCCGGCGATCGGCATTCATGTAAAAATCACCCTCGCCCCCCCCCCCCCCCACACGCGCATGCCTGTGTGCGTGAATTTTGACCCTGTGCCGGTATGTGAACAGCGGTTGAACCATGCATGTGAAGGTATCGCTGTGAACGTCAGATCAAGGGCAGTAATTCTAACACTAGACCTTCTCTGTAAATCTAAAATGGTAGCTTGTAAAGGCTTTTAAACGTTGCCTATGGATATTAAAAACATATGCAGTTTGTTGCCATTGCACGGGGCATGCATAGTTTTAAAGCATGTTTTATATTCTACCAAATAATTGGCCAATATATTGTGTTTTTGTGCATTAAAAGTAAAAAAAAAAAGTGTATTTGTTTTTAAAAACTGCGCTTGAAAAATTGCTACACGAGTACTATGTAACATAAAAAATTGCAGCACCCACCATTTTATTCACTAGGGTGTTTGCTTTAAAAAAATATATAATGTTTGGGAGTTTAAATTAATTTCCTGGCAAAAAATACAGATTTTTTTCATGTGAGCAAAAAGTGTCAGAAAAGGCTTAATCTTCTGGTGGTTAGAAATGTAAGTGATGTGTGGCATAAACTTCTAATGCTGGGGATAAAATGCTCCCACCCCCAAAAATGACCTCTTTTTGGAAAGTAGACACCCCAAACTATTTGCTGAGAGGCATGTTGAAACAATAGAAGAATTTATTTTTCTACCACAGGTTTTTGGAAAATGACAAAAAAATATATTTTTACACAAAAAATTGTCACTTAAATGATTTATTGCTCACACACGCCATGGGTATATGTGAAATTACTCCCCAAAATACATTCTGCTACTTCTTCCGAGTATGGGGTACCACATGTGAGAGATGTTTTGGCAGTTTAGCCAAGTACAGGACCCCAAAATCCAATAAGCACCTTCAGGCTTTTAAAGGGCTTTATTTCCTCATTACATTTCCTGCCTACCTATCACAGTTTCAGAGGCCCTGAAATGAAAGGATAGCACCAAAACCTCCCAAATGACCCCTTTTTGGAAAGTAGATACCCCAAGGAATTTGATAAGAAGCATAGTGAGTATTTTGCAGATCTCGTTTGTTGCCACAAGTTTTTGGAAAAAAAGAAAAAAAAAGCAAAAACATATTTTTTCTTTTCTTTTTTTTTATATTTCAAAACCTTGTGAGAAAAAATGAGATCTGCAAAATACTCACCATGCCTCTTTTTAAATTCCTTGGGGTGTCTACTTTCCAAAAAGGGGTAATTTAGGGGGGGGGGTGGTGCTATCCTGGCATTTCAGGGCATCTGAAACTGTGATAGTTAGTGAGGAAGTTACGCACCTTCAGGCTTTCAAAGTGGTCATTGGATTTCAGGCTCCTGTATGTGGCTAGGTTCCCAAAAAGTCTCACACATACACCCCATGTGTAAATTCTATCTATACCATAGTTTGTAGATACTATAACTTTCACACAAAGCAATCAATATACACTTATTGGGATTTTTTTAACCAAAAACATGTAGCAGAATACATTTTGGCCTAAATTTATGATGAAATTTTAGTTTTTTTGGATATTTTTTATGACAGAAATGAAAAAAAATCCAAGTATATATACCGCCATTTGTAAACACTATAACATTCACGTAAACCAATTAATTTACAAATGTTGGGTTTCTTTTGTTAGCAAAGACATGTAGCAGAATACATTTTTGCCTAAATTTGACAAAATTTAATTTTTTAAATTTTTTTACTGGACATGTTTAATAGCAAAAAGCCAAAAATATAGTTTTTTTCTCAAAATTGTCGGTCTTTTTTTTTTTTTTATAGTACAAAAAAATTTAAAAAACGCACAGACGATCAAATACCACTAAAAGAAAGCTCTGTTCATGGGGAAAAAAAAAGGACATAAATGTTTAATTTGGGTGCAGCGCTGCATGACTGCAAAATTGTCAGTTAAAATAACGCAGTGCCATAATGCAAATAATGGCCTGGTCAGGAAGGGGGGTAAATGCCCTTGAGGGAAAGTGGTTAAAAAAGATGTTTGTAACAAAAGTGCATTTTGCGTTGGTCAATGCATGTTAAATGCAATTGAAGTGGTGTTAATCAAAAAACTGTCCATGTAACCCTAACATTCACTGACCCTTATTGTCAACATAACCCTTGGTTTACATAGGCACCCTTCCTGCATTGGAATTCTCCATGGTAAAAATTGTGCATCCTGTGTTATAAGATATGGGTAAAAAAATACATAGAAAAATACAGCTGAATCCTCTGTTTTTATAGAATATGTATGACATACGATATCTCTTTTTTCAATCTGATAATTTTTAAGACTAAACACAGTGCTTTGCATATAGAAATGGTGAAATATAAATAGATACCCGCTCTAAGAGAGACAATGTGGCTTTCAAAGCTCCTTCTGGCCTTCCAAATGGAAAACAGTACCTGTAGAGAAAAACAAAATACTCTAATATAAATTTGCCACAGACATTACCTTTTTCATTTTTTTTTTAATCAGCAAAATACCTTTGTGAGGAACTGTATGCGGAACACTGGTGTCATCCTCATTAATTTCAACTACAAGCTGTTAGGGGCCTGGCTTCTTGAGAGTAAGCTCTGATGCCACTGCTGCTTTTTTTTTTCTTTTAACTGTAGGTAAGCCCTAACAATGAACTGCTCTTATTTGCACCTCTTTGATCAGTTAAATATAACACTGTAAGTGTTTTGTTATATTTGTTCAATAAATAACTTGATTTTGTCAGAAATTCAAGTGCTCTCCTGTGCAGACTTTCTGTTTTATCTCAAGTAGAATAATTAGCCCTCCCTTTTCTTATCTTGGACTGCAGTCCCTATGTTGTGGAAATTAACAGACAAGAAGGATTCTGTAGTTTAGCAAACAACTGGGCAGGACTGACACCAGTTGAAATGATGTGTTGTCAGCTAACAGGCAAGGAGGAGCTGAATGAATTGCTGGAACATTAACTGATATTTTTTTGTATTTGTAGCGCACAGATGTGTCCCAAAGGAAATAAGTGAATGGTATATGTCAGCTGTGATTAGTTGGGAAAAAACTCACTGCTGCCAAGGTAAAAACACATCGGTTTGTAGAAAGTATGAACAGGAGCCAGGCGCTGTGTAGTTTTGTGATAAAAGTAATACACCTTATATGGCGATGTGCCTTTAATAATTCATATGGTAAAAAATAGATCACCAGCCTGTGGCTTCAAGAAGCCAGGTTCCAAGATGGACGGCCCGTCCGCTCAGAGGGAAGCAGTGGAGAGAAGAATGCCTGTCATCAGGGCACTGATGATCAGTGCCCTGATGATCGGTGCCCAGCAGTGCCACCCACAAGTGCCCAGCAGTGCCACCCAACTGTGCCCATCAGTGCCATCAACCTGTGCCCAGCAGTGCCACGCATCAGTGCTGCCCAGCAGTGCCGCCAGTCAGTGCCCAGCAGTGCAGTCAGTGCCACCCATATCAGTGCAGCACATCAGCGCCGTCCATCAGCGCTGCCTATCAGTGCCCATCAGTGCAGCATCATCATGCACAACAGTGAAAGAGAAAAATTACCTGTTTGCAAAATTTTATAATAGAAACAAAGAAAAACTTTTTTTCTCAAATTGTTTGCTTTTTTTTGTTTATAGCGAAAAAATAAAACACCCAGCGGCGAATAAATACCACCAGAAGAAAGCTCTATTTGCATGACAAAAATGTCTTATGGCTACAGTGTTGCATGACCACACAATTGTCATTCTAAGTGCGACAGGGCAGACAGCTGAAAATTGACCTGGGCAGGAAGGGAGTATAAGTGCCAGGTAGGCAAGTGGTTAAATCACAGGGATATGCGCATGTATTGCAGGGATTACTGCATTTTTAAAATTTTGTCTTGACATGCACATTAATCGATTTCTTAGGATGGAGCTTTTGCTTAATAAAAGTCATGGAGCTCAGTCATCTGAGGCATTGAATCTCCTCCTGAGCAGCTGACTAATTGGATCTGAGAGGATTACCTGACTCACTTGACCTAAAGCTCACCAAAATAAGATTCCCACTTTTCTGTTAGTACTGTAACCCCCAACTGTCCAATTATTTAAAAAAAAATAATTTTCCTATTAATATGTCTTTGTTAAATCTATTAGGTGGTCTGCTTACACAAACACAGCCTTAACGTTTTGCAAAAGCATCCAACGTAGTTCCCCACACACTTCTAATGTATAAACCCTTGGTTTCTACTTGGTGTCTGAAGCACAATCCATGTTTACATCACTCTTCAGACAGCAACAAACAGGTGGTGGTGAGGAGGCATTGTATCTCCTCCTTGCTTGCTGTTGTAACGCCCTGATTACCAGACAACAGTGCCACAACCACAGGCATGGCATGTGCACACCCTAGGCTGCTGCCTCAGCAGCAACACTGGTAGCTGTTGAGAGGTGGTAAAAACACAGCTTGAACATGGGGATTTACAGTCTCTCAATTGCAAGTGTAAACAAAGCCTAAGTTAAAGCTTACAGGCTTAGAAAATTCAGTTTGTAAATGGATAGAAAACTGGCAAAAGAGCGTATTCAGAGAGCAGTGATTAACGATTCATACGCTGAACGGTCTAATGTTATTAGTGGTGTA